CGTGTTGCAGTAGGACGGGGTTGTGGGGTGAGTTGGGTTGGATCTGGAAAGCCGTCACTATGGGATTCCCGACGAGATTCATGGCCGATCCTCCAGGTTCAGTGTAATACGGTGGCCTGGGCTGCTGGGCTCCTGCAGCAGGGTTGAGGGGGCTGTCTGGTGTAGGACACGTTGAATGCAGCTCCTCGATCAGTGGTGGGGGTACATCTGCCTCTGGATGAAGAAGCCATAGTAGAAGAGCAGCCCCATCATCAAGAAGAACTAGAACTACCAGAGCTTCTGGATGGAGAGCGCCCGCATGCAGCACCAGGAGCTGCAGCAGTCCTCATAGGAGTGGCATGTAGAGTATGTTGGATAAAGTCCGTCAAATACCAGCAATGTTATTTGGCTTCAGTGCCCTCCACCAGCAACTCCAGCAGCAGCGCCGCAACAGTCCCGGCTAGGCAGCTTATCGCTCCTCTGGGTCTTCTCGGGGCACGCCAGGCTCTCGGGGTCGCAGGCACAGGTCAGCGGCTTGTACCCCCACGCATGGCAGGAGCGGGTGGCCGCAGTGAGTCCCACAGGAGCCTGCAATTGCTAGGGGCGTGAAGTCTCTATTTTTACTGGGCAATTCCTTTCATCTAAACATCTCACAATGTTTTTAAAACATAAACATGTTGTTAAGTGAAGTAGATTCAGTACCGACTCATAGCGACCCTATATAGGTTTTCTGAGCAACTGGTGAGCTTGAACCGCCGACCTTGAGGTTCAAAGAGACCTTACAGGCCAGTGCATTAACCCACAGTGACACACCAACATAAACATAAGGAATTCTTTTATGTTATGAAGAGTAAGGAACAAGTTCTAGAATTACTGTTTAGAAATTTTGGCAAAATGCATGTTGCTTTTTAAAGATCTTGCCCAAACAACAATTTTTATAGAATTTTACAGCTTGCTGTAGGTATCATTTTTACATGTAACTTGAAAACGAAATGTTAAATAAGGCAGTCTTTTCAAAATTATCTTTAGCACTGTTACTACCCTTATTATAAAAAAGAAAGAATCTGCCTGTGGAAAGTGGTAGAAATTAGAGACAAAATGGGGGGAAGAGAAGGAAGAACTTCAATTGCTAGAGAATTAAAGACTGAGAGAGATATGCTCCTTGCCTTTCTTCCATTCTACACATGCAGAGAAAACAGAAAAAAAAGTCTCTCAACACACTAACAGTAATAAAAGATTTCCTTTCTGATGCTGGCCTGGAGAAGGGTGGGAAGGACAGATGGCTTTCAAGCTTCCTGATGTCTCAGCAAGAGAGACTAGATCATCTAGCAGCAGTACACAGTACAGACAGGTGTGTTACAGGTTGAGATCATATGCACCAATTAAGAGGGAGATTATACATCTTACTAAACTTCTTTTAGACACTTTTATTTGTGTTATCTCATTTAATCTTCAAATTAGGCTATGAAGAAGGTATTCTTAGTGTTATACCCTATACTGTTGACTTTTCTCCTAATACAACAGCTCCTTTTAAGCTCTTTTGCAGCCAAGGTCCTATGCTTCATTAAATCTTAATTAATATGGCCTGTAACACAGCCCTGAAGCTCTCCTATTCTCTTCCTGTACCATTTAGATGTCCTTAGAAAGCTGGATAGTCCCAGAGTTTTAAATGCTATTTATATGCTGATGATGACACTCATATTTGTTTCTCTAGGTTTTACTTCTCCATTTTGTTGTTGTTGTCAGGTGCCATCGCGTCGGAACAGACTCATAGCGACCCCATGCACAGCAGAATGAAACAATGTCCGATCCTGGGCCAACCTCACTACCGCTGCCACACTTGACACCATCAATGATGTCACCTGGCTGATCCA